TGACAATGCCACAGACTAAGTAATGCACATCATACAACAAACAAAACGCTGGTTATCCTACTCACAAACAAGGCAACTAAGAGGCCTACTTTCCTGACTAACCAAAAAAAAAACTCTTATAACAATGTCTAACCCACAAACAAGAGAGATAAAACTACATCTGAAATTGAACAGAATACACCCAAGAGCTAAATCTCTCTTACTATAAATGGATATAAGATAAGTGGACGCGCCAAAGTTTTTGGGGGACCCTATCTTGTGAAATGCATTACTAACCTGGAGAGGGTGTCTTTAAAATGGCATTTCTAAAGAAAATCGGCGTGTCCTAAAATCACAGAAGGCGAGCGCTCTTAAACAAGGTTCCAGGGCTTAGCGAGAATCTGGTCTTTAAGGCCGATCTGATCACAGTCCTCTCACCCGGCACACACTTCTGTTTCTTCCTCACTCGTCCTGCCTCTTTTTGGCTCTCTGCTTCTGCCTACCTGTCTGTCTTTTTCCTGTGTTTCTGGACTGATGAGTCTGAATGATTTACCGAGGAGTTCCTTTACTAGGGTAAACCAGAAGATTACTTCTGATCAACGTCTCTCAGCAAACATCTCAGTCTCTCCACGGTTTCTGGATCCTGACACGCTGCCATAGCCGTAACACCACTGCAAAGATCTGTGACTTTTAAACCGCCGAACATACCCCCTTCTGACTGTTAATTAAGAAACTTTTTTGCGAGCCAAAAAGAAGCAGAAAACAAAAGTAAAGACTGACATGGAAAAAAAATCTCTACAGGGGCAGGACAGCCCACAGAAATATTAAATCTCAGTAGAATAACCTTTTAATTCTGTTAAATTTAATTACAGATACTTCACTCATCCCCCAGAGGGTGAATTTAAACAGCGAGCGATGCAAAACACAACACAGAACAGATACAACAACATTAGTATTTTATTAGTTATAAAAACAGCACTCAGACCATTAAAATGATTGAGAGTGACAGGCTGTACTATTAAATAGTTACTATTTATAATATTAAATAGTTATTATTATTATTACTATTACAGTACGTACACGCACATTTGTAGAGGGGGCTCTATGCAACAGACGTGATATTGATAAAACATCTTTATTTCATTGTTTGCAAACCTGATTGACTTGTGAAAATGTCTTCCTCAGGGCAAAGCTTCAAAATGCATTCAAACTACTATGATTATGCAAATAATAAAATTGCAGGGGAATGCTAGAGTGATTGGTACAAACAACCCCTTTTCAACTTTTTTCAACTGCATTTTTCAGTTCCAACTCCCTTTCTTATTTTGATTTAGATTTTTTCTCAAAAAAGGATTTTCTTGAGGATTGATTGTCAAAAATGTATCTGTGCTTCTATATGCACCTTAACCATTCTCAAGCATGACCAGCGCCACAGGTTTTAATACAGGAACTCTTTCAGATATCTGTATGCTCAGACAGCACGAGCTGTTGACGCTTCTGCACGAAAAAGAAACAACAAATGACAGGATCCGAAAACAAGAACGCTGAGAAGTAAGCAATGTGGCTCACTTTTTCACCTGAGGTGGTAATAAGGGCTTTAAGGGGAGGAACATTATTTGAAACTATGAAGGAAAACGGTGAAAGGTGGTTAACTCATGGCTTTGTTTGTTAAGGCCCAAAATACTTTGGGCACTATTTTATCTCCTTCCTGTTGATAACTTCAGGGAGGATAACTTGACAGCGACACGGCCGCCGCTTTTCACCAGAGGGCTATCAGTAAAGGCGTTACCACGGTGACACTAATGTCACCTTTTTCAGATCCAAACTGACCAAAGGCAGCACAACTATAAAATCTAATCCTAATCCATAAACTGCTCCCAGAGACTGTACGCATTTCATATACATGTATACTGATTGTACCCGTCTTCCACTTCCTGCCTTCCGCTGCCTAGTTCCCAGATTATCACACAAACAATATATTCACACTTCCCACCTGACTAAATTCACCATTTGTTTTTTCAGAAAATGATCACATTTCCCCAACCAAGAAGAAACGTCTAAGCTGGCTGTAAGGCTCGCATATAAATTAAGAGCCTGGAACATGTAACTGACACTTGACAGCTTTAGCGCTTGTTTTCTTTGCGGATAAAAGAAACAGGTGTTGATTTACTGTGGGGGTAAATAATTAATGCCCACGGCCGGCGGCACCGATGAGAATTATTCAGATGCTGCTACTGTGCCTACCTGCCTTGCGCTCATCCGCATTTCACCTGAATGTGCAGGAGGAAAAAAACAACAACGCCAGCGTAGCGTGCAATTCTAAAATCTGTTTTAAAAAAAGGAAAGAGTAAGCTGCTGCTTGTTTCATGTCCTGTCGAGGGTGAGGGCAGTCTTGTGCCCTTGTTGGCACTTTGACCCCACCTGTCTGGACTAGGCTCCAGGCTGCAGCTGCCCTGACTGTGACAAGCGGCGCTCTTACAATAGGAAGCTTCTGCCATGATCGCTACATTTTCTTTTTTAATTTAGAGAACAAAACACAACCATTTTACATATGAACAACCATTATTCAGCCTTACATCACAGGCACAAATTCCTGTTTGTTCCCCTATTTTTTTACAATTATATAACTTTTTAACAAAACTATATCCATTCAAAAGAAGGAAGATGTATACATTTATGAATATGAAAAAGGAGGAGACTATATAAATGTATCTTATTAAATTTCAGTTATTTTGTATCTCAACAAAATCTGACCTTAAAGGTTTAATGTACTGAACCCATCTAGACCAATATTTGACATTTTTTTTCATTTGTAATTTTAGTGAAAATGTTATTTTTTCCATTATATATGTTTCCTTTATTAATTCAATCCAATCATTCATTGTTGGTAGATCTGGGAGAAGCCACTTTCTTGTTATAGCTTTCTTCCCTGCTGATATAAGGATTCCAAACAAATATTCACCAGCTCCCCTCCAATCAAAATCCAGTTTACCAAAATATAAAGCCTCAAATGTAAGGGGTACATTCCTTTCAAATATAGTTTCCAGGGCCTCATGTAATTCTTTCTAGAAAAGCCTTATTTTAGGGCAGTTCCAGAATATATGCCAATGATCACCTTGGTTTCCACACTGTCTCCAACACTTAGGAGTTTTCCTCCGTATGGTGCACCTTCTGACTCGGAGTAATGAAAAATCGAACAATGATAACTACATTTTAAAAAACAGAGCTCCAGTGGTTCAGCCGGTAGAGCCCTAGAGAAGCTGTCTGGTCATTGAACACCCAGCTGAAGTCCGTGCTACATCCTCAGCCACTATGGCTGGGACTCCTCAAGCACCCCTGGCCAAGAGCTCCTGAAGCTGATAAACTGAGCAAACACCAGCACTTGTCAGAGCCGGGCTGAGAGGAGCAGCTTGGTGGGTGAAGTCATGTCTGTGTGTGCAAACAAGTACGAATCCCACATCTCCCAGCTCCACAATTCAGCACAAGCTGCAAATTGCATTGGATGAAGTCATCACTCGATTCAAATGAGTGATAACGCAAATACACATAAGGGCAGCTTATTCGTTTTTCATCTCCATGCAGACCATGGCGAAAGCACTCGGAGATCGGGGACACACACGAAGTGGAGGGTGAAGATGCACACACAAAGATAACTACATTTTTGTTACTTTCCAGTTGCTATGGTTGAGCACTAAGGCATTTCTGTGGTTGGAGATAAGAAAAGGCAGCACAGAGATTAAACTAGTTCGCTTACGATAAAGCTGGCAGGAGATTTTTAACCCATCTAATCTGTGTAATGCAAACAACAGGAAGCAGACATTTTAGCCCTGGCATACCACACAGACTCACAGACCACACACCACATCACACCACACACAGAAAGCAAAGGAAGAAGATGCCTTAAGATATCAGGTATGCATGATCATCTTTAGTTAGGAAAACATTTTCAATTGATATTTCAGTCTAAACAACATGTTGTTTGCTGCATGCAGTCACCTCTTCCCAGCCAAGAAAACTGTTTCAGTAATCCTGTGGATCGGATGCAGAGCGTACATGTCTCTAAGCCTCCAATCTACCCACTCTTTGGCAAGTGTGCAAACACATATTTTAAGGTCAGTGGGCTCCTGACCGGCTCAGCCAGCTGAAGGGGGTGAGTTCCTGGGCCAGGCTACCTCACCAGCACTGTGCCTCCTGCAGCTTTCTGGGCGAATGTCCCAGATCCTCAGGCCTACCTCATTCTCATACAGGCGTGGCCATTGTGAACTGAGACGCAGGAGCGATCGGTGCTTTTAAATAGGAAATTCCCTAAATGAAACATATGGCGCTGTCAAACAATGAGATATTAAGCGGAAAAGGGGGACATTTACACAATCTGAGCCCTCGCACTCTCACTCTGCGCTGAAAGGCAGATGTGACGACAGTGGAAAGGACAGAGCAGGTGAAAAACAGCTTTCCCCTGGAGAGCAGTGTGGGAAAATGAAAGGAAGGCCATCTCACGGGACTGTAACGGGAGGTGAGAGTGCTTCTCAAGGTCAAGACCAACAATGCAGTCTGAGCCTTGCACTGCCACTGAAGACAGGCAAAAAATGAACTTCTGTCTGACCACCACGTCCAGATCTGTCGCTGACACACCACAACAAAACCCCTGCGATTTTTCTGTTGTGTGTCTTTCCATTAACTACCACCATTTAGGTAGTGTCCCAGTAAATACAGACAGGAATGTTGGGGGAACTGTCTATAAGCGTGTATCATAGATTTAACATTTGGTGGTTTTGCAGAAGAATGCCTGTCAACAAAATTAAAGGGACTAATCCTTAGCCTTCCTGGAGTCCTGGAGGACGTGCACACCGGTACCCCTCGGCCCTGACAGGTGGTGAACGCCACCGTGAAGCGAAGGAAGCCCACGTGCAGTCCGTGCCACTCCTCACAGTGCTGGGGTGTACAGGTACGCCACACGACTGACGAAGCCCAGTTACTGGTTCTGGGAGTTCCTCACGAGAGCTGGGAAAGGCACTACTTACGAGGTCTCTGTGAAGCACCCAGTTCGCGTGAAGATAATGAATCCCATCGAGAATCTGATAAAGCAGTGATTTCACCATCCCTCTGGGCAACTGCATGGGCTTCTTATTGGCCTTGGAGGCGCGGTGAAACTTTATAATATGCTGCGAGGAAAGAAAGAGACATTAAAGACACTGCTTAAAGTTTCTGGATAAGGTACAGCTGTCCAACAGGAATACCCCATTATTTTTCATTTAAAATAAGGGACAATATTTATTTTTAGAATTCAGGAGGCTTCAATCATTTCGACAAATTCTCCAAATGATAATGAAGTTGTCTAAGCTACAATTACGGCTTTTGCGGGTAATTAAGAACAGAAACCACAATTATTTCTATGCGTTGTGGGTAATTAAGAATTAAATCGTATACCGCAATTACAGATGACAAATATACGCACTCAGGTGCATACAGAGACATTAAAGTCCTTAAGTAATTAGATTATACGAGTGATTTATATAACTGTTTCTTCTTTTTTGTTTCAGAAACATCAAGGACTGGCAATATTTACTCATAAGGTGTGGTTAGCTAAGTCTCCTGAATGAGTGTTTAGAACGACGTGGGTTTGTAGAAGAGTAGGTGTGTGTGCCAAATCACAACGTCTGAGCCCAGGCATGACTCGTGCAAAAATGCTCTGCTCTGTTCCCATATCGCATATTATTCGGAATGAACAGGGTGCCACACCTGGCTAACTTTTTCTGACATACCCACAAATCGTGCTCTGCATAGTCGAAGAGAAGCCAGACTTTCCTGTCGCTGTGAGACAGGAAGACCTTCTGCAGTGCGATCACATTAGGGTGCTTCAGCTCTCGGAGCAGCTGAAAAGGGTAAAGTGCCAACAGTGAGATCACGTCCTCCAAACAAGCAGGCGAACGTGAACTTCTCGCCATATGAAGCTTCACTACCTGCTTACAAGACTGCAAGAGAAAAACTGGGCTGTAAATAAATCAAACTGACTTTCTTTTACTATTTTTGGAATTAAGTATGAAATGAAGCACACCCCTTTACTAAGCAACACTGCCTTAAAGAAAACGTTATACAAGAAGACATTTAAACAGAAGAAGACACTTATTTTAATTAAACTACATATACGCAACAAGACAGAACTGGAAAAGACAACAAAATGTATGTTATTGCTCTGTTTCCCTATTGTACTTGACAGTAGATACAGAACATAATGTAAAAAGTTATTCTACGCAATTTATTCTACAATTTACACATTTCTTCATTCCACCATTCATTCTACAGCAACACATTTTTCATAGAGCTGCGACTACTAATAAATATGCAAAATTAACACCTGGTGAAATATATTATTTGTATGAAACATGTGCCATAAATTAAAAGACACGGCTTAAGCATGCACCTCAAAAACATACCTCCAAGGTGATTTGTGAAATTAAGATGCTGCAATCAAATCTTGTTTAACAGTACAGTCAGATTTTTGTTTCTGGTAAGTATGGAACAGGGTACCAATGAGCTCATGTTTTGATGACAGGAGCATTTCCATCCATTGTCTAACAGCTTAAACTGATACAGCAGGGCAGCTGGAGCCTATCCCAGCAGGCAATGGGAACAAGGCCAATGTTCCCAGAAGCCAATTCACCTACCAGCATGTCTTTGGACTGTGTGGGGGGGGGGAACTGGAGCGCCCAGGGGAAACCAAGCGAACCAGAGGAGAACATACAAACTCCACACAGACAGCAGCCCAGGAACTGAACCCAGGGCCTGATCGATGGGAGGAAGCCATGCTCACTAACCACTGTGCCACGGTCTGTAACTGTAGAACTTACCTTTCGGAAAAAGACGCTGTACGCGATGCAGCTTTTGACCATTTATCATGACCAAATCTAATAGAGCATCTTTTCCCATAATATTTGATTTTTTAAAAAAATGTTTTGCTGCACTCTTCACACAATTACACACAGAAATAGTCAATCAATTTATTTCTGGATGCAAGATCAGAAAAAGCACCATGTTAAATAAATTGTCACAACATACCTTTGACAGCAACATTACTAGCCTGACTTGACGCAGGAACTCATACTCCAGCACACGAAACCACTTCAGTGCAAAGACGCATTCTCTTAACACAGGCAAACATTCAACTACTGTGTCGTTTTTTACTGCTCATGTCAAACAGGAGAAAAATACTCACACACTGCAAAAATAACAGAACTATCAACAGCACTAAACATTATGGATCCCCTCATTTTTTTAGAATGACTACTGAATTCTAATAAAGCAATAATAATATAATATAATAATAAAGGGTTATATCCTTAACATCAACAAGGTCATTCACAAAAGCAAGCTGCCACTGGAGAAGAGCAGTTTGATCAGTGTGAAACACTAAAGATCGTAAAGTGGTTAACAGTTGAATGAGAGAGGCTGCCTCATTCAGGTTAGTACTGTACAGGCACAGTCTTCCGAACAATTTCATCTTCTGCAGTTCTTTTCATAGGCTTCTGATTAATTCGGTGTGGAACGTAATTCTCCTTCTTGCTCTTTCAGCTTGAACGAGTGCTGGAAACAGGCCACTGCTCATTAGACAGGCCAGCAATTGTAAACAGCTCACTGGGGGAACACATCCAAAAGAGGAGTGAGCAAAACAAGGAGCCACGCACAGCTCTCACAGGACTCTGCAGCGCGGAAACAAAGGGCTGCGCTAAACCCGAAAAACAACACGAGAGTAACAGAAAGGTTACAAACGAGAGAAAGCCAGCATGTCTGGCCCCTCTAACACGTTTGGTAGTCAGGTGCCAATGGCGTCTTTGTGGCCATTTCCTGAAAGAAGGCAGGGTATCGGCCTCAACAATGTGGCCTGACTGCTTGTTCCATCCACCCACAACCCTTAGCATAAAGAAGTGCCACCCATTCCTGGTTTTAAACGCTCAGTGTCCACTGGTGTCCTCCGGTTCGTGTTCCACTGTTGACTCTGAAGAAGTCCATCGGGTTGACTTGTGAAGGTCTTTGAGGATATATTTAGGAACATTAGGATCGGGTCCACTCTTAGTCTTCTCTGTCTCTAAGTGTCAGACACTCCTTTTTACCTAGTAATGTATCTGGCTGCTCTTCTCCGGACATTGCAGAGCTGCAATGTCTTTTCTATACTGTGGTGGCTACTGTACACAATATTCTTACTAGGGTGTCATATAATGTTATCATAACCTCTCTTGATTTATATTCTGTGCTTTTAATTGAACAGCCTAGCATTCGCCTATTTAATTGCTTCCCCGCAATCGTCAGGAGAACACAATGAGACGGAGGGGAGCTGATGATTCAGAATTTCTCTTTGATGGGATCCTGTAAAATGTGACCACTACACATAATGAGATTTTGTTGGTGCAAACAATACGAATGGATATTCATACCACAGGACTTCCCCAAGCTGATCAGCCAAGTGTCTCCAATTCACAGAGTGGAAGAAGAACCAACAGGGATCATTTGGAGTTCTGACTGTGGGCATCCTGTAAAATTTAAACCACACTGGCCTTTGAAGTACCGAGATCTTTACTTGAACATAAGCACCACAACACCGAGCAGCAAAGGATGGCAAAAAGAAATCTGAACTGCATTTGCCTGATCTGCTGTACGTCGGCAATCTGGACAAGAGAAAAAACTGGCTGGTTGGTTCTCGCGCTGCACTGCAGAGATCCTGTGAAGGACATCTGCTTATGCTTTAATCGGGGGTTCAATTCATTATGTGAAAGAATCTTTTCAGAATGCTTCAGATCAGAAATACTCGTGCTGACTTCCCAGCACAATTCAGTGACCAGAGGCAGAGGTTCAGCACCAGACGTCTGAATACCACTGCAGTGTCTTTTCTGTGCGCGTGTGATCTTGTGATTAAGACCACGGCCAGTGACTGTCTTAATAAATATGCCAGCCCTCTCCGGGACATTCAGCTCTGGACCTTTCTGCGACTGCTTTCTAAATCCTGCTGGAGTCTAAGCGGCAGGAGAATGATTCAATTTTAAAAAACTTACAGTAGGGTTTGAAAATTGGTCTAATCTCTTACGCACTTTTATTTTCTGTCTTTCTTCAACCGCAGGCAAACGGCGTGACCTGAGACAGCGGCGGATAGATTAGCGCAGGCAATTGGAATCGCCTTCTCACAAGAAGGTCCTGAAAAGCTGGTGGACAATTGCCGTAACACGGCAGGTTGTAAAAAAACCCTGAACGCTGAACATCGGAGGGGACACGCAGCCGTGCGGTCACCGGCACTGGAACTGGCTTGAGGCATGGTGGATCTCCAGTAACCTTTAATGGTCATGTGTGATGACGAATGTTGCTCTGTTCAAGGGCTGAAGAGGAAACCCGTAAAACCTCTGTCCTTCTGTGAACCTGCAGAAAACTGGCCTATCGCAGCTTCAGAGCCAGGGCAGGGGTGTGGACACTGTCTTGTTTCTTGTACACATATAGTGTAGAAATTAACAACCCAGAAGGACGATGTGACACTCGAACAAACTCTTCATTTGGTGTAGAAATGAACAACCCAGGAGGACGATGTGACACCCGAACAAACTCCTTACTTTTTAACCTGTAACTCCGAATCTATTAGGTCCTACATGCACCATGGCCTGTCACCCTGAGCAACCGTTATTCCTGCTCAGCCCTCCACCAATCAACATGCAGTTTCACTGCTGACACACACAAATATTACAGACACTTGCACTGGTCAACGGGAGGTGGGCCGACCCGGGAGGCCTGGGTGGACTTGGTTACGGGTATCCAGCCCCGACGCCCACTTGGCAAACCGTTTTTTTTACCCTTTGGATTTCTGCAGAAATTTTGTTGTTGTTAGAAATATATTTAAAAAATCTGCGATGGCTCATGTTATGAAGTTTCAACTGAAATGACAACTCAAACATGCTCTCTTTCCTATAGATAGGGGACGTGAGTGATACTAATATTTCTAATGATGGATAAAACATCCATCCGTTTGTTAAACTCTTAGGTCAGCTCCTCGCAAGCTGGATAAAAACTGTTTATATCTTCTAAACACTGGAGAGCTACACTTTCAGAAACTAGTCTCAAAATGTGCTGCATGCTGTGCTACCTTGTAATCAAGACAAGAAAAGTTTCAGAGACATAACCTTGTATAATAATAAGAACTATAATGTTACCCTTAAAGTAGTAGAATAAGCCCTTTATAGTAGTTCAGGAGGGTAGCTGACACCCGAAGGCTCCACAGCCGAAACGTTGCGTTTTCTTTCTTCTCTTTTCAGCATGGAAGAAACCCGTTACTAAGTCTATTATAGACTAGTTGTGTTTAATAGATTATTTTAGTTTTAAAAACTTACTATCCAATTATCAGATGCCAAGTGTTTTCATGCTTCCTGTAAAAAAGGAAGGCTGGTTTTGTGAAAAGGTCTGTAGTTTCACTGCCACTCTGAGCAGCACAAGCGTAATGAACGAAGAGCACTGATAAGATGCGCCACGTAACTGTATTCTGCAGGCCCTGTCTTGCTACACACAGAACAGCACAGCTAATAAGCAGCGATTAGTTTATGCCCTCGTTATGCGGCCAGCGCCAGCTGCAGCCCCTGGTGCAGCTGGAATTAAAGGAAGAGTCAGGAGAACAATGCAGCACTTGATTCTCCATCCTGCAGCAGCGCCTCTGCGATTTAACCCTCAGAAGGGAAAACCAAGCGTGTGCTTTCCATTACAAACTCATCCCGTTTCATGACGCACTAGTGTACTAATAAGCTCCAAGATTACCAGTATATTCCTGCAAAGCAACAACGAGCACAACAAGGTGCAACTGGAAAGACAATATTGCACAAACATATGAAAACTCAGGGCGGCATGATGG